AACCCCCCCCCCCCCAAGATCTGTGCACAGCTCAGGGAGCCTGTGTGCCGGGGCCTGAGCTCGGCTCCGATGCAGGAACTTTCTGTTTGAAATGGGAGGGAAAAACCCAGGTTCTGGGGCTGGGATTTAAATATCTTGGAGTGGGGGGGGGGCTGGGTCACCTGGCGCCCCGCAGTCGCAACACACGTCATTGCCGGTCATCTTCTGGACTTCGGAGATGATCTCCTTCGTGAGCTCCTGGACTATGTTGTTTTCTCCGGTATTGTCGTCACCCTTAAAGGCGTTGTTCAGAGCTTCTTCTTTGCTGTTTTGCAACACAGACATCCATCTGGAAGAAGAACAGAGGCTGTGACAGGTCCCAGGCAGCCCCGAGTCCCGGCCGAGGCACCTCCGCAGCGCTTACATCTGACATTCCTGCTCGTCCTCGGCCTGGAAGTGGTACGTCCGGTCATCTGCGCGGCAAAGGAGAGGAGTCCCATCAGCGTGACCGGACAGTAACCCGGACACGAGTCCACAAAGAAGTGGCTTATGACTAACTCAGGACTAAGCGGAACTCTGCTGCAGGAGGCAGGATTCCTGTAAAATCAAGCAGCCCCTCGTGGCCTTCACATGCCTGCCCCTGCACAACAATAGTGGCTTTTTTAAAAAATAAAATAAAATGTTTTTATTGTTTTTGGAGAGAGAGAGAAACGTCGATTGGCTGCCTGCCCTGACCAGGAATGGATCCGTGACCTCCTGGTTCATAGGTTGGTGCTCAACCACTGAGCCACATCGGCCGGGAATAGTGCTTTTTATTTTATTTTATTTATTTATTTATTTTTAATATGTCTTTATTGATTTGAGAGAGAGGAAAGGAGAGGGAGAGAGAGATATAGAAACATCAATGATGAGTCATTGATTGAGCCCACAACCCGGGCATGTGCCCTGACCGGGAATCGAACCCCGACTGCCTGGACCCCAGGCAGGTCAACCGCTGAGCCACGTCAGCCAGGCAATATTGCTTTTTATGCTCCTGAAAGCTTGTTGCTTTTCTCGAACATGACAACAAAGCAGCAAATTCTCAAGGTGCCTCACACCAGCCGTGAAGAGCCCTCCTTGGATCAGAGGCCGCAAGCCTCTGCCTGGACGTATCCATGATGCCTTAGGTGCCGGAGCAAAGATGCCGACAGGGTCCTGGCTGACATCCCCTTGCCCGGGTGTTCACGCGGAGCCAGGCTTGCCCGGGACTGCCCCCCACGTCTACAGCAGGCAGTAATCCACGCTCGGCAGGCAGCGAGGCACAACCACCGTCACCCACCCGCCTAGCGGCTGGCCTGTCGCTTCCTGACTCCTCACTGTCCTTTCCCTCTTCCGTGGGGGATGCTGAGCGAACAGCGGCCACGGCAGGTGGTTCCGCGGCGAGTCTCCTGTGCGCCCCCGAGAGGAGCGCACTGAGGCAGAAAGACCGAGCCTGCGGCCGGAGGGCAAACCGATTTCAACAACGGAAATCGGTTTTTATTGCTGGAGGCCGGTGCCTCTCGTGTGCAGCCATTCTAACCCCGAGAGAGCACGGAGCCCGAGCAGCAGACCGTCTCCTTTTACAAGGAAGGGAAGGGATTGTGGGCTTATGGGCTGATCTCCTATAATCTCCTCGTTTACAAACAGGCGAACGAGGCTGGGAGCTGAGACGAGCATCTAGGCCCACAGAGCCCAGGGCCGCCCTCGAATCCAGACGGGCGGGCCGATAACCCCGAGGCAAGAGAGAAGCACCCACATCGCCTGAAATGCAGGCATTTCTCTCCGGAACGGGTGCTTTAAAATGCACGTGGGAAGGGGGCTGATGGCCTGGCAGACGGCTCGTGATGATTTCTCTGCGGCACAGCGTCTGAGAAACAAACTTACGTGAAATAAGATCAAAACTCTTTTTCTCCTCGGGGTTGGTCTTCACTTGGCAGGTCAGCAGGTTGAGCTTTGCAGGAGGCCGGTTAGCCTGTTTGAAAAAACAAAACAAACGGAGATGGGTGGGAGAGAATGGAAAACCAGACAGTGTCGTTCCTCCTCAATAAAATTCCTAAAAAATAAAATATAGCAAGAACAGGGTTTTCCCTAGATTGCAAAGATAGCCCCCAGAAGGCAGAACCCACGACACAGGCACGTCCCTGACGCTCGGCTCCACCGAGGGCCCCTGCCCTCCCTCTAAGGGACACCCAGCCAAATGGGGGACAGGCGATGCTGGCTTTGAGGTCAAGGGCAGTGGACTCCCTGAGACCGAAATGCTCCCTGGCTAAAGCCCGAGACATTCGGTCCGGACTCCTGCTGACACACAGACGGCCGGCTGGGCGACTTGGGAACCCAGATCAATTTCTCATCTTATAAGGATTTTTCTGAGCGTAAACACTCACTTCCAGGAAAAGCAATCTCACAGCACAAAAATGACAGAGAAATAATTCCCCCGCTTCCCGAAGTGACGACAGAGAACAGGCTCATAATCCTAAACGCCAACCATCTGTCACTTAAGTTTCAACAAAACCGACCTGCCTCGCACACAGGCTCCCCCGCCTGCCCCCTGCAGACGCAGAAGGTAACAGGAGACCACAAGGTATTTTTGTCAGAAATGTGTCAAGACCACTATTGCAGTGTCAAAAAATAGTCTGTTCTGTCCAAAGAAGCAAAAGGCAGAGGGTAAGGAGGTAATTTCAGAAGAAAACTCTGACTGGCTTATTTTATTCTTTAATTCTCACTAGAGGATATGTTTTTATCGAATTTAAGGAGAGAGGAAGGGAGAGAGACATCGGTCCGTTGCCTCCCGTATGGCCCCTGACCTAGGGATGTGCCCCGACCAGGAATCAAACCCGCAACCCTGGCGCTTGGGACGACACTAACCAGCTGAGCCACCCGCCAGGGCTAAAGGTTGGTTTTCCACCGGCTGACATTTAGGGCTCAGTTTCCCACACGGGCAACTACCCGCAGGACGGCGGAGGACTTGGTGCAGCCCGGGCCGTGCCTTAGACTCTCCAGTGAAATCTCTGGCATCTCCCCCAGGTCTCCGGTTCCCAGAGCCCCGACCACCTGCACGCTTTTCCCTGAACACAAAAGCAGAGATCGGCCCAAGCTCCACGTTCACTTTCCAGAGACCCAGGCAGCCGGCGGGCAGCGTGCTGGCTTTGGTTTGTTTCTGGACGTCTCGGGCTCTGGATGAAGGGCCCCTGGCCACCAGCCCTGCCCCACTGCTGGGTATGAGGCGAACGAGGCCCTCTGGCTGGGAAAGCATAAATGGGGTGCAGGGGCGCCACACGGAGCGGGAACCCAAAGGGGCTCTTCTCAGCAGGGACCGTCTTTACAATGCACCCCTAACGCCATGACACACGCAGGCCACACGCAGGTCGCTCTCAGGCCACACACAGGCCACACGCAGGGCACACGCAGGCCACATGCAGGTTGCACACAGGCCGCACGCAGGCCACACTTAGGTCACATGCAGGCCACATGCAGGTCACACTCAGGTCACGCAGGCCACACTCAGGTCACACGCAGGCCACACGCAGGCCACACTCAGGTCACACGCTGGCCACACGCAGGTCACACTCAGGTCACACGCAGGCCACACTCAGGCCACATGCAGGTCACACTCAGGCCACACGCAGGCCACACTCAGGTCACACGCAGGCCACACGCAGGTCACACTCAGGTCACACGCTGGCCACACGCAGGTCACACGCAGGCCACACTCAGGTCACACGCAGGCCACACGCAGGTCACACTCAGGTCACACTCAGGCCACACTCAGGCCACATGCAGGTCACACGCAGGCCACACGCAGGCCACACTCAGGTCACACGCAGGCCACACTCAGGCCACACTCAGGCCACACGCAGGCCACACGCAGGCCACACGCAGGACCACCACGTCCTCTCGCCCACTGAGCTCGTCCCTCGCCACCATAGCTGAGACGGCGAGGTAAGGGAGATACTTACGGTTCCGTGTGATATGGTGAGAAAGCCGTTTTTAACGGAACACTTCCTTTTCTGCCACACTTTCCGAATCCTTCCAGATAAACGAGAAGAAATAAAAGAGTTTAGGCGCTCGGAGGCGGGCGCGGGGACGGTGCGTGGACAGCCCGCCGCGCCCGCCTACCCGTCGCTCTTCTTGTACAGGCTGCCGCTGCGCTCGGTCCCGTGGTCCTTGTTCCCCTGAGGCTGGTGCAGGCTGTAGGTGGCGCCCTGGCGGAGCTGCGCGTCCTAAACGGGGTCAGAAGTTCGCTGTAATCCCGTCCAGGTCCCAGTGATTAAAGAGCAGACACAAAGGAAACTTGTGCCCTTAAAACATTTTTTTTTTTTTAAGAGAGAAATTTCCCCTCTCACTACACACACACACGCACACGATTTCATATCCAGGGCCTCATAAGTGTCACCTACCGGGCTGGAGAAGGAAATGGCAAAAACCAGCACCCCCAAACTGGCCCAAAGCGAGCCCTCTGGGAGGTACAAGGTTTTACTTAATTACGAGCCTTAAGTCCCCGGTAAAAGCAAGAAACTCCTGTCGGGTGAAAGCAGTCCTTTCAGGCAAAACGAACCAATGAACAAAAAACCCCGATGTCCTGCCTCTTCAGGTGAGATACTTAAACTCCCTGCCTCAGTTTCCTCCTTGGAAAACAGGAAACCATCACCCAGCAAGGAAGGTGAACATAGGAAGGTCACACGTGTGAACACCTGTACAGGGCAGGTACTGAACAATATTCTCTCCCGGACCCCGTCGGTCCCCGGAGAGGGCCGTGGCCTGAACCTCACCGCTCAGCCTCGGGGTGGACCGTCCGCTCAGACAGCTGAGAACCTGGCGGAGTCCCCACAACTGGGAGACGCCAGCCTCCAGCTTCTCGAGGGCAAGATCATCAGTGAAACCTGGGCAGCCAATAGGTGCCCAGCTGTGCCCGCCAGGCGACAGGAGGAGTCCTGGGCGGGAGAGGAAAGGGGCTGCCAGGGCGGGGCTGGAAATCCTGGCAGACGTGAAGGAGACAAAGGGGGGCAAACCGTGGACCTGAGCTCACAGGCCAACCAGGTGCCCTACCTGTTGCTGGGAGCCCCCCGTCCAGTTCACTTGGAAACAGAAGAGACAGACGCGCAAGGAAAACAAGCGATCTGCTGGAGGTGCAGAGCGTGTCGGGGGCCAGGGTGAGCGGGGAAGGGAATCTGCGCCCCGATGCTCCTTCCCTTACACCACGTGTCCTCGCAGGGGGTGTCCCGAGAGACGAGGGCCGGTCTCATCTCCACGGCCAGGCCGAGCACTGTCCCTGGGGGAACCGGCACTGCCCAAACGATGGAGGAACCGCCCACAGCAATGAACATGATCGGAACTGAGAGGGCACAGGCCCGACAGGTGGACAAACGGCGTAGCTGAGATACAGAGGCCACGGGTAGGAGGCACAGGTAGGCCTGAGTCAGAGTCACAGTCACCTGGATCCTTGGCAGTTTTAAAGAGATTTTTGAAGCAAATATTTTTTAAACTTTGATGAAGCTCTTTGTGTCTAGTTCAGATGTCACATCTGAGAAATCATGCTTAATCCAATACCTACGTTTTCCTCTAAAAGTTTAGCTCTTCCGTTTAGGCCTCTGATCTGTTCTGGCCTATTTTGAGGTAATTTTTGATAATAGTGTGAGGTAGGGGGTCCAATTTCACTCTTTTGCTGTGGACATCCAGTTGTCCCAGCACCATTTGTTGAAACTGAACGGCGCCCTTGTTAAAAAAAATCAATTGACCGTTAACATAAGGGTTTGCTCCTGGACTCTGAATTGTTTCATCGATCCAGGCCTGTCCTAAGCCAGCACCACACTGTCTCCGTTATCACAGCTTTGTGGTGAGCTCTGAAATCGGGGGTGAGAGCAGCCCTCCCACTGGGTTCTTTCTCAGGACTGTCGTGGCTACTCCGGGTCCCTTGCACTTCCGTGTGGATTGTAAAATCAGCCCGTCCGTTTCTGCCAAGGCAGCTGGGATCCTCGTGGGGACGGCATGGAACCTGCAGATCAATTTGAGGAATACTGGCACTTCCCATTCCATAAGCATGGGTGTCTAGCACTGACTTTTTTTTTTAATGTCTTTATTGATTTCAGAGAGAGAAAGAGAGAGGGAGAGAGAGAAACATCAATGATGAGAGAGAGTCAGGGATGGGCTGCCCCCTGCAGGCCCCTGCTGGGGATCGAGTCTGCGACCGGNAGTCAGGGATGGGCTGCCCCCTGCAGGCCCCTGCTGGGGATCGAGTCTGCGACCGGGCATGTGCCCTGACGGGGAATCGAACCGTGACCTCCTGGTTCATGGGTCAGCGCCCAGCCACTGAGCCACACCGGCCAGGCCAGCACTGACGTTTTAACTCTGAAATACATATGGGCTGGCTCTGCACAAATGAACTAAAATCTTCACCCGAGAAGTCAACAGTGTGCTCGGGAGGTCCATGGCTGAACTGAAAACAAAGCCTGAGCACAGAGCCCGGAACAGGAGAAAGGTCCTCGTTTCCACGGGAGCCTCCTGACGCCGAGGGCAAACAGGTGGGGACGGTCCCCGTTGCCACAGCCTCTCGGAAGGGCAGTACATCAGCACTAGAAATTCAGAGCAATCCCAGGTTTAAACATCCCCGGGAATACACGCAGTGCGGGAAATGGAGGAACAGAGCTCACCTATTTGAATCTCAGCAAAAGACTAAAAATACACCCGTCAAAAGACTAAACTGCACAAGCAAGAGATGTACCTATTGATCGGGGAGGGAAACCCGGCGCCAGTGAGTGTGCAGTCACGTGACCACACTGCTCAGTCCCCGGGTCGCCTTTAATCAGAGCTCCTCACAGGTCTCGGCGGACCAAGGACGCTCCTCCTTCCAGCAGGATCCGCCGGTGCCGGGAGCAAAGGAGGAAATGACGGTTTCCTTCTTCAGGCTAGACTTTTCTTGAATCAATTAAAAATGGAGGCAAACCTGAAGCCAGGCCAGAAAAGCTGGAGTGAGAAGAGAACCATGCGGTGATGGGCCTCGGCGCCCGGGACAGCACATGCCATCCGGCCGCCTCCTGCCAGACAAGGACACTTCACAAGGGGGAGCAAAGCTGAGACGGAGGGACAGACAGCACACGCGGCCTCCAGCGCGGAAAAATCCCTGTGGTTTCGGTACTGAGATCTGCAAGCCCACCTCCCGGGGCCCGAGACCTCCCCCGGCAGCACCGGCTGGGTTCTCAGCATCGAAGAGCAGAGAGCCCGCAGCCAGCCCGGGGTCAGGGCAGGGGACCCGCCGGCTGCCGTGAGACGCGTCCCCGCAGAGGGCCACTGACAGGGCCACTGAGAGGTGGGGAGGGCGGGAGGAGGCTCCTGCAATATCAGCAGAGAGACGGTTTCAACCTTGCAAAAGGATCTTTCCCAGACGTTAAAACAATGGGGCAGGTATAGGTGGTTCACTACAAGCTTTCCTCTTCTATAAGCCTGAAAAATTTCATAATTATGGAAAAATCAAACTGTAGTATCCTCTCTTACTAAATACTGAAAACAAACTATGAACGCCAGTCATTGGGAGGTGCGAGGTCACAATGGCACAGTCTCCTCGCTCGGGTCAAATGAGCGCGGGAACGAAGAGAGCGGCTCCCACCAGCCATCAACGCAGCTTCCTCGGGGCATGTTCCCTCGTTTTTATGATCTGTAATTATGCAGTAATTAGAGTTTTTATAACGCTGAATAAAAACCACCAACACCTTCAGTTTTCTAAGTCACACGAGGGAACCCAGAAACGGGGAATGAGAACCTAAACACCAACGCCCCAAATGTCCATTCCCGTCACCGAGGGGCAGCACAAGATGGAACTCCAANGGCACAAGATGAAACTCCAATCATAAAAATTATTTTAAAACATACAGAATGTAACTTATACACACTTGGTCATTCCTTGCAACTGTGTCCACACACATGGAAAGCCATCTTCAAAAAGAACGCAGAGTGAGACAGACAGAAGCTATTCTGTGTTTCAGAGAATTGCTGTATTTCACATTCCCAGCCAGGAGATGGGGGGTTCGGTCTGAGCCAAAAGCCAAAAGCGGGGGCAGTCACTGCCCGGGGCCCCATGTGCAATCTGGCGCAGACGGGCTGGTCAACAGAAACACAAAGTAACAAACCACAACACGTCTAGTCTGTGCTGGTAAATTTGTTTCACTTTTCTGCAAGGCTATAAATAACCAGCCTTCTGACAAAAGCGTTTTCCCAAACCTCCTGGCCCGGCACAGCCAAGGCAAACACGGCCCTCACGCTGCGCCCAGGGCTCCCGAGCACCGGCATCTGCTCGCCTCTGTCCAGTCCAGAGCTGTGCTTCCTGGGCTGTCGGACAACAGCGCTGTCGACGGCCCCACCGATGCCCGGGAGAGCGGCTGCCCCGATGGGCCCGCTCCCACACCTGGCGCCCTCTCTCCTAGGCAGTTAAGCCACTATTTTCTCCACATTCCAAGGTCTTTTTTTGTTTCTTTTCCTGCTTCTGTTGAAAGTTTGGGGCTATCAAAGCATCAGGATGTATACTCTCTGGACTGGGAGGAAGTCACTAACAAACCACCTCAACCTGCCAATCTCTGGCTCAGCTGACCCACATTTACCGAGAGCTTTCCTGATGAGCAGCGAGGCACCGTCACGTGGTGGTGGGAAGGCACCAGAGGCATGAGGGTGCCCTCAAGCTGCTCAAGGTCGCTCAAGGTCGAGATGCAGAAAAGCACCTGTGTGCTCGAAGACACCGCCAACCAGCCGAGTGCGGTGTGACTGAAACCAGCCGTTCAAACAGAATGTGCCCTATGAACTCACATCATGGGCGAGGTGAGCAGAGGGAAGAGTTGAATTCAGCTACTCAGGGCTGGGGGGGAATAGGGGGCTGCTTCATTTTCACCAAGAATGACAGCAAATGGGTCCACAGTAAACTTGGAAAATTTCCACTTCACCAATATTTGTGCTTTCAAATTCTTCAGCCTTTAATAAAACCCACTGCTATTGGAATAGAAGGGGTTAAATTAAAAATGCTCTGGTCATTAATATATACATGGAGGAAACCATTTTTTTGGAAGTTCGTGAAGAAAGCATGCAAAATTCTCCAATTTATTAAAATACTGAACTACTTACTCTCCTAGACTTCGGTCACAAAAGGTCAATGCATTTGGGAGAAAAACAACAATATTTAGTTATAGTACAGGAACTCAGCACAAAACAGAGCAGAACAAACCACCAACAGTGAATCTGATGGCTACTAAGTAGTTTAACAGTTATTTATCGAAAGGCTGCACTGATACATTTAGACACATTCCTTTATCACAAGGAAGTGGATTTATGTTAAACTTCACATTACAATATCTACACTGTAGCAAATGTATCATCAAATTACCTTAGACATTTATTTTAATGTTTTTTTAAATAAGCCCCTAAAGCACGAAGTATCACCGTGGGTGTGTTCGTGTGTAGAGTGGGGAGAGACGTGGCCAGGTTTTCTGCCCGCAGAACGCAGCCGTAGGAGAACCTGCTCTCCACGTTTTATAGCACACGATCTCAGGGGCGAAGGCTCGGAGGGCCGCCCCGACCTGCTGGCGCCCACGGGGGCAGCATCCACGGCTCCCAGAGCAGGGAAACCAGAGGTCAGGTGGAAAACCAGTAACGTAACTGAAGTGTCCACCTGACGGAGATGCTAAGAGCTACTCATCTCCCACCCGACAGAGCAGAAAGGTTCCTACGCTGCCACTAGGGCCATGCCCCCAGGAAAAGCTTTCCCGTGAAATAAACGTACTTAAACAGGCGGTTTGATAAAACCACACTTAAAGAACCAACTGAATGTCCCAGTGCTGCTTGATACAGCCCCAGAAGGATCTGTGAGCACCTGGCACACACGGACGTCTCCTTCCTCAGCCCCAAAGCCTCTGAGACACAGCCTCAAGCAGCCATCCTTCAAAATTAAATCCCCTCACCTCTTTCTGCTCAACCTGCAACGCTGATTTCAAAATGTCCCGGAGCTGTATAAGCTGTCTTCTTTCTTCATCCTGGGCCTGTTTGATCTTCAGAAAAGAAACCAGAGAGAGGCATGACTGAGGTACAGCGAGACCTGGAGTTCCGGGGGCATCCTCACATCCCCGAGACGCCTGTCCCCTCACTCATCACACCTTCCCCAGCCAACGGAGGACAGGAGCGGGGACCCCGCGCTCCGCGTGGCACTACCCGGCTGTTCGCTTCTGGGGGCCCAGCAGCAAGCTCCGTGTCTGACAGGAGCAACATTTATCTGAGAGCATTTGATGCATAAAAACTGTTTCAACACTGACGTGGCGAGGAAGCTACTTACTGTGTGAAGATCCGTTGAAAGGGTTTCAATGGAAGGTTTGAGGCTTTCGACTGCTTTCAGGCCATCCTGGAAAAAACTGGGAGGGAAAGAGAAGAAACACAGATCATGTCTCATGCAAAACAATTTTGTAAAATGGAGAGAAAACGTCTTTAAAGGAAAGTGACTGAAACCACTATGCAGTTCCTCGGGGCTGTATGAACAGAACGCAAACAAGTTACCACAGTACAAAGACACTCAAAACTACAAGAGGCGGATGGGAAGGAACTGCAATGAGCCAAAAGAGCTGTGCTTTTTCTTGACCCATTAAAATGAGCCCCAAACCCAGGCTGGTCTGGCTCAGTGGTTAGAGTGTCGGCCCAAGGACTGAGGGGTCTTGGGTTCGAGTCCCAGTCAAGGACATGTACCTGGGTTGCAGGTTCGATTCCCGGCCTCGGGACACATACAGGAGGCAACAAATGATGTGTTTCTCTCACGTCCATGTTTCTCTCCCTCTCCCCACTCCCTTCCACTCTTTCTCTAAAATCAATAAGAACATGTTTAAAAAAATAAGCCCCACGTTTTCAGTTTCTGATGGAAACAGGACTCCACTGATGCAGGCAGCGAGGGCGTTGGCTCAGGAGCAGACTAGTCCTGAAATACAAGGGAAGCCAGACGAGCTTTCGGCAGCAAGGCTGGGCTGAGGTTCTGTCGACAGTTCCCTCTGACGTGTGCTGTGTGTAACCCTTTTGAGGAGGGAAGAGACTGCATCCCACCCAGCAGGTGGCCTTCAGGACAGGTCACCACACCACAGGGGCCTGTCTGTGCTCTGTGTCCCGGCCCCGCCTCCAGCACAGGCTTCTCCGGGCTGGGCCTGCATCTCCCCCACCTCTGCATCCCCCCCACCTCTGCATCCCTGGTTGCCAAGCAGCAGCTGGCACAGCGGTTCTCAGCAGGGATTGGCCAAAACACAGGTCACTCGTCACCCTTTCCCACTTTGGAACGGCCCGTTCCTGTCTGCTTTGCGGTGACTATCTTAAAGACGGCCCTGTTTCTAGATCCCGCTGGAGAGGAAGACCCAGGAACTAGGTAGAGAGGCAGGTTCTCTCCTTAAATGAAATGAAAGGCAAAGAACATGAAGGGCTCTTCGAGACCGCTGCAAGCAAAAATAAAAAATGAAGTCTAAGGGGGAACCCCCGACTGCGGCTCCCAGAACCTCGTGCGCTCAGGAGGCCTCCTGACACCCGCAGGGACGAGCAGCCGCGAGAAAGCGGCTCCACCTCCCCGCGGGGCGCAGTGCGGGCCAAGCACAGCCGTGCTCCCCCCGGGGGGGAGACCGCGGACGCTAAGTGGGGGAGCACGAGGGAACCCCGCATGGATGCGCACTGCGTGGACACAGGCTCCTTTGTCCAAAGGCTGACTCACTTGGGCTCCACATTTTGTCCCCTAAAATATGAATTAAAACAGGCAAAGCCACTGGAGTGATTTGAAGAGCCCGCAGTGTGTACACACACACACACACACACACACACACACACTCTCACACTCACTCATCCGGAGCGGAAGTGACGGCCAGTGCATCTGTTTTAAAGGTTGCTGAGCTCCTGCCCATAAAAGGCCAGCTAGTCCACTTTTCCACAAGTGGCCTGTTGCTACCCAACTCATCAGTTTGGGCAAAATAAAGGGGGGAAAAAAATAGGGAAATCCAAGAATAGCTGCTTCTTAAAAATAAAATATGAGCGAGGAAGTGACCCACTTCCTAAACCGCCTCACACGAGGTTCCGAGGGTAAGGAATGAAAAAGCCATTTGCGTGTGAATCACAAAGGCAGGGTTCTGAGTGTGTAAAACAAGCATCTGGAGGAGCCTGCGCGTTAGGGGGCCGCTCCCAGCCTGGGGGGCTGCCTCCCAAAGCTCGGCTCCCTCCTCTAACCCGGGACGGACCACTCAGCCCCTCCCGGTTTGCCGAGTGGCCTCGGCTGTCTTAGAAAAGCCTGGTCTCCAAAGCTGGGGAATGGAAAAGTCAACACCACGGCCCCTTCCGTCAAGTGTACGGGTCAGGGGTGGCATCACACGACAGAGGGGACGTCACCCCGGAGATACGGGAGGACAAGTAATCGCATCAGGGCCGGGGCAGAAGGACTTCAAAGTGGCAGTTACATCTGAGCGAGGTCTCAGGAAGGGACAGGTGCTGGAGGAAGCACAGAGGGAACAGAACCACACTCTAGGAAAGGGGACAGTGGGACAGCGCAGGCAGAGGCCCGTCAGTGGGGGGCACAGCCGCCGGGGAGAGGCAAGCAGACAGGTATGAGCATCGACCTCGGGTTTCTCCCATCCATCCACAGCCTCCACTCTGAGCACCAGCAGGAGCCCAATAAATAGTTGTTTTGTTTTGTGTGTGATTTGGTTAACCCTCACCTGAGGATATTCTTCCATTGATTTTTAGAGAGAGTGAGAGGGAGGGAGGGAGGGAGGGAGGGAGGGAGG